CCGCGGTCGACTACATGGGAGTCCAGCAACATAGCCATTACACTAACTGCTGGTCCCAATAATTCTTAAAAATGATTTAGAGGCTGGGAACCAGCATTTAGCGTAATGGCTATGTCGCTGGACTCCTACGTAGTCGACCGCGGTTCGCGTCCAGGACCCGGTGGCTTAAAACTCACGCCGGGCGCGTGTGCGTGCGTGCCCAAGATCCCGAGAGGAGAATGGAGGAGAAGGGATTGCGGCGTGACCATCCCCCCTGGGGGGTGATTTCTCACTTTCTGTCTCTATGTCCCTCTCTGTCTGTCTGGCGAGCGCACGCGCCCTACAGTGAAAAATCTCTCAAAAAAAAAAAAAAATTTAGAGGCTGACAGATGGCATGATTTTAAGGTGCTAGACTCCTACATGGCTGACTGTGGTTCAAATCCCAGACCTAGAGGCTTGCTTTCTCTCTCTCTCCCTTTCTCTCTCTCTCTCTGGTCAAATTAAATAGCAGTAATAATAGGGACCAGTAGGTGATGTGGTGGTTAAGGGTGCTGGACTCCCACAGGGCTGATCACCATTTGAGTCCCAGACCTGGTGACTTGCTTTCTCACTTTGTCTTGCTCTCTTTCACTCTGTCCTTTCTCTGGTCAAATTAAAGTAATAAATAAACAAATAAAGTTAAATAAAGCAGTTATTTTTTTTAAAAAAAGTAATAATAATGATAAATAAAAATAAAATAATTCCTTTTTTCTATTTTAGAGAGATTTTTGCTATAGGGCATGTACACTCACCAGAGAGACTGAGAGACAGAAAGTGAGAAATCACCCCCCCCCCAGGAGGATGGCCACACCGCAATCCCTTCTCCTCCACTCTCCTCTCTGGATTTTGGGCACACACGCACAATCACCCGACATTCGTTTTAAGCCACCAGGTCTAGGACTCAAACTTTGGTCGACTACATGGGAGTCCAGCAACATAACCATTACACCATCTGCCGGTCCCAATAATGCTTTAAAACCATTTTTTAAAAAATAAGATCTGATAAATACCGATATTTGACTAGGGACAAAACAGGTTCCAAGAGGGTAAGTCAGATCCCCTGACTCCTACCCCGGTGCTCATCTCATTCCCAATGTGGCCTCAGAGGGTCCATCTCCCAGACTAGACTGTGTACCCCAGGGCCTGAGTGAGACCAATCCTGGATGGACCCTCTCTCTCGGGGTCCCAAGGACCACCCAGGATTTCTCACTTGTGCAGGGGTCTTAGTGGCCACCTGGGATCTCCCCTAAGTACATGCTTGTGTGTAGAAACTACCTCTTGTAGAGCCCCTTTATTCTGCTCCACCTTGTGCTCTCCCAGAAGCAAAGGCTGGCTAGAGGTAAAGTTGTTTCCTTCCCTCCCACCCGGGAAACCTCTAGGTTGAAATCTCCACTCTGGGAGGCAGCAAGAGACACAGGTGAAATAGGAGGTAAGTCAATTTTGTTTTGTTTAGTTTTTGTCATAGAGCACGTGCACTCAGCAGAGAGAGACAGTAAGAGGGAAAGTGAGAAATCCCCCCCTGGGAGGGGAAGGATGGCCATGCCATAGTCCTTTCTACTCCATTCTCCTCCTGAGATTTTAGGTATGCATATATATGCATTATGATTTTCTTTCTTTTTCTTTAAAGAATTATTTTATTGAATTTTTGAAAATCTATTTATTTGTTTATTTTAATTTGACCAGAGATAGAAAGAGTGAGGGGAGAGAGTGGGAAAGTGAGAAAGCAAGCTGATAGGTGGGGGAGGGGGGACTCAAACCCTGGTCGGCCATGTGGGAGTCCAGCTTCCTTAACCACCAAGCCCCTCACCAGCCCCTGCATTGTGATTTTCAAGCTGCCAGCTGGGACTCAAACCCCAGTGGCCCACATACGAATCCAGCCTCTTAACCATTATACCACCTGCTGGACCAGTAAGTCAGTTCTTTCTCTCCTCCCTTGCCCTGCTGGAAGTCCAGTAAGTTAATCTAGGGACTTCTTTTCCTTCCCGTCTCAACATTTGGGGCCTGTGGCCTCTCTCCCGGTCGGTCCCCATGTGTCACTCTAGCTGGGCCCTTATTCTCCTAGCCCTTAGCCAGGTGGAGGAGGATGACTCCTGCCAGCCAGACACCCTGGGGCTCCTGGTCTCGTGGGCCTTTGGCCAAGGGGCTCTGGCGTGGGGCCAGTGCCTTTCTTACTGCCCTGCTCCCTCCCCACAGGCCCTAATCCATCTCACCCAGCAGGAAGCCCCTAAGCTGCCTTTTCAGAGGCCTTCCCCAGCCGCTGTGGGCTCTGTGCCTTTCTGTACCACCCTTGGCAGGAGCTGTGTTATACAAGCTGGAGAGAGCGGCCCCCACGAAGAGGTCATCATGCCTGAGGAGGCGTCCAGCAGCTGCAGCCTCTCCTCTCTGGTCTCCTCCCCAGGGCTCCCCCTCCACACCACCTGGGTATCCCTGGGTACTAACAGCCCTGGCCAACTCACATCCCAACCCCAGACTGGATCCAGGTGGGGGTTATGGGTGCTATGGGACAGTGGGCAGGAAGCCAGAACTACGGCAGTGTGGCAGGCAGGAGGGGGACCCTCTGGCTCTGTGCCATTTGTCCTTTCCTTTGGTCTCTCCATCTTTCCAGCTTCCAGCCCCTGACTCCAGCTCCTCAAAGCCCATTCACTGGCTTCTGGATTCAGGTATGCAGCCCGGACTGAGGACTGGGAGCCGTGTGGCTGTGTCTTGGACAGGAAGAGAGAGAGGCTAAGGGGTCAGGGTGGTGGGGTGGTGGAAGGTTCTTTTTATCTTGGCTTTGTTTGGGTGATAACTGGTCACTCCTGGAATGGGGACCTCACAGCCTAGACCATTCTATTATAGCACAGGTTTGATTTCAGGACCCCCCCCCCAAACCTGTAGGCCCTGCAAGTGTGCTCTCACTGGTTCTGATTTTGGGTTGTGGTATAGCCTAGTCCCGACCCTGCCCTCAACCTTTTCCTGCCCTCAACCTTTTCTCTCTCCTCCCTTTCCAGGAAAAAAAAAAAAAAAAAAAAAAAATCCTGAGGCCTCTACTCCCCAGCTCCAACCCCAGCCCAGCCTCCCAGTCTCCACTCCAGGAAGCCAGCCTTCTGCAGGCTAGGAGAGGTTAGAGAAGAGTTGGGGGTGCCTCTGGGAGGTCTGTTTGTAGTTCAGATTCTTCTCATTCCAGGCTCAGCAGGCTCTCTCCAAGGGAAGGGCCTGGAAGGGGGGGGGGGAAGGAATCCTTAGGGCACCAGCTGCAGGGAAGGAAAGCTTCCTAGGGAGAAGAGGGAAGTGTGTTTCCTTCTGACAACCTCCATCCACAGGGCAGGACCTAGGACCTGTCTCTCCCAAGTCCATCCTTGGAGTCTCGCCTAGGAGCTGCCTCAACCATGGCCTCTCCTGACAAAAGGAGTTCTTCCATGCTGAGACCTGAGATCTCTTTCTTTGCTTCCTAAGAAGTCTCTTCCTTTCCTTTTGGGATGCTTGGCAATATCTGGAAGAGTTGAGGGGGAGGTGGCAAAAGAATTATATCTGTAGTGACTGGGTCAGCCCCAGCTTAAAGAGGCAGGCATGTTGATCTGTCCCGCAACTGAAGTCCCCAGTAGATGTTTTTTAAAGCTCATTTATTTGTGCATAAGAAAGAACTTGGTCTTTGAGAGAGTCTTGCTATGAGAGATAGAAAGAAATTGAATTTTTTTCCTAAGCCCCCAGTTCTGGGACTTGAACCACATAGTCGGCTATGTGGGATCCAGCTCCATTAACCACTAAACCACCGGCAGGCCTCGCTTTTTATTTTTATAAATATGAAATGCTTCATGAGTTTTCATGTCGTCCTGGTGCAGGAGCCATCAAGTCTTCCCTGTATGGCATGCCAAAGGGAGCACCCCAGGAAGTTTACTTCACCTCAGCATTAGCATATTTGTCCTTGTAACATGCCACCCTTAGGCCACAGAATTCCCCAAGAGTTACTCAGAGTCACCCAGCCACAGGGAAAGCAAGCTGAAACCCCCCAGCCCTGGAGACCTTAGAGAGCTGACACTTGTCCCCACCCCCTAGAAAACTTCCTTCCCAGCTGCTTCTACCCTATCTAGGGAGAGGACCGAAACAAACACTGAAGCCTTGTGTCCAGTGTCCACTACCTGAAGTCAGGTGTCACTGTATCAGATCCTTCCAGCCCTTTGCAAGAGAAGATTCATATCCCCATCTTTTTGTTTGTTTGTTTGCTATAGGGCAGATGTGCTCACCAGAGACAGAAAGAGATAGATAGCTAGAGAGAGAGAGAGTAGGCACACTGGTTGACAAGGTCATTAAGACCCAGTTAGATTCTTGGCCCACCCTAGAAGGCACAGTGGCATGTCTGTAGTTCCAGCTAATCAAGACGCTGAGGCAAGAGGATGGCAACGAGGGAGACTCTCAAAGAAGGAAAAAAGAGGGCCAGCAGGTGGTGTAGTGGTGAAGCCATTGGACTCCCACTGCTGTTCAAGTCCTGGACCCTGAAATTTGAAAATCATCAGGCAAATGTGCTCAAGTGTCTAAAATCCCGAGAGGAGCCTAGAGGAAAAGGGATTGAGATGAGGCCGTACCCTGGGAGGTTCTGTCTCTTTCCAGCAAGTGCATACGCCCTATGGCAAAAAAAAAAAAAAACTTTAAAAAAAGAAAAAAAAGACCAGCCATCATGCTCAACAGTAACATAATGCTCCTAGTGCTAAAGCCACCTGAGAAGGTCATGTGTCCTCATGCCAAGGTCTTCCTGGACATGGTCCTAGCTGGTTGAGGCTGAGGCTGGATCATGGCAGGAAGACCCTCTTGGGAATACTCCTCTCTGCCATGGAAGAAATGAATAATAAACTTAAAAAAAAAAAAAGTGGGGAGCTGGCCAGCAAGTGGCAAAGACATTAAGGTGGCTGGATCCCGCATGGCCAATTCCATGATGAGATCCTGGACCTGGCTCCTTGAAAATCATGTTGGGCATATGTGCATGGATGCCCAAAATCAAGAGAGGAGAATGGAGAAGGGATTGCAGCATAGCTATCCCTCCTGGGGGGGGGGTCTTCTCACTTTCTCTCTCTCTCTGTATCCCCCCACCAACAAGCGAGCAAGCACAAGTGCCATGTGGAAAGAAAAACAAAACGATTTTCTTTTACTTTCTAGGTCATTTTCTTTTCTTGGCTTTTACTAACCACCCCTCACCCCCACCCCACTCCCAT